AATATCCGCATATCGGATATCGGCCAAAATCCCAATATCCTGCATCCCTAATTTAAAGTACTTTCAGAAGTTGGAAGTCTGCATATGAGCGGACTTTTCCTTTAAGAGTGCATTTGCTCCCATTGTAAATTAGAACTCTAGGAAGTGTAAGTCTTATTCCAGTTATCGTAATAACTCTGAAAGAGTCAACCCTAGCTAGGGGTTTATAAAAAATAAAACAATGAAATGAATGTTTGCATTTTAGATTGATTCCAAACTTTGAATCAATATCGCTCTATATAACATTTTAATTGACTTTTCCTTTAATTTTATAATGGAATCTTGTTGCTTTGGATTGATTTGAATTGATAATGTGGAGCAGGTTGTCATGGGCAGCACCTTGAGATGGCATTTGTTATGTGCTGGTGTCATAAAACCGGACTGAGAACGATAAGATCACAGCGTTCATGTCTGTAGGGTATAAAGCTCTGCTTTTGATCAACTCTTCCACAGAATAATGAGATGTTCACAGTGGGGGTGCAGAAGGACATGCAGCCCCACACATGGGCCACTCCAGGGGAGGCAAAAGCTTGTGATATGTCCTCACAGAGTGCTTGTAATGCGATCGAAGCAACACTTCACCCTGGCAGCAGCAGCTTCTCAGCTGAGAGAGGGGTTATGCTGCTTTAATCTGTTTGTTGGGGATGAGATTTATGAGCAAGAGGGGCTCTGAGCAGGAAGATCAATGCCATTCTGCAGCGCAACAACATCTCAGAGAGGAGTTAACAGATCTGTGGGACATTAAAGCCTTGCTTTCCAGTGCAGCATCTCTCTCTACTAAAAATAGAAGCATGCAGCAAAATGGACTGATGCTATTTACGGAGCCCTGCTCCTAAAGTCCTACATCTAATTACAGCAGGCCTACATGCTGAGCTCTGCTGCAGGATGGACTGATGCAGGGAGTGATGCAGAATAGATGAGAGCTGATTGCGGCCATGCATGTGAAGGGATTTCTAACTTCAGCTGCAGCTTTATTCCCACACTAATGAGAAGAACTTGTCCTTGCTGCGCCACTCAGTATTCAGCACCACACTTCAAGGCCTCCGTTTGGCCCATTTCAGCCAAACCAAAACAGATTGTAGACCTTTAATAATTTATTGGCCGGGAAACAAACAGCCTTTTAGCTTTTATTGGATGTTTATTCCCATGGGCGCAGTGTGCTTTCTATTTAACAGGAAGGTTGAGGAATTTTCTGATGATGTTAAAAGATTTCTTACATAAAAAATGAAAAATGTCCCATAAATGCGTTCATTTCCAAAAACAAACCGCATTCCAGCCATGATGGGAGAATGTCAGGTGTAACAGTTTTTCTCCTACCGTTCTGGGAAGACACGGACTGCAGCATCAGCGTCCCGAATATCGCCACCGACAGGGACAGGACTGCGGCTCCCGGCTGGCCAGCTTTCATCTTCGGATGAGGTTGAGATTCCGGTGGGGAAGCGCAAAGGTGACCCGATGCGGGACGGATACGGCGCGGCTCCCAGACGCTCCTGCGGAGTGACGCGGACAGAGGAGAGGAGGGAGGAGGAGGTGTCGCTGGGTAGAAAATGGAAGAGCCGGAAACTGCTGCCGCCTGTCCACCTGAGACGCTCCAATTCAGCTCCGGTTCCGCCGCTGTTGCAAAGGCTAGAATAACCGGGCTTTTTTTCAGCGAGCTCCCAAATCTCGCGAGACTTCGAAGTAGCGCAGAGACAACGGGACCTCGTTGAGGCTCTACCACCAATCAAAAAGCGCAGCGCCAAACAAATGTGATCAGTGGTGGAAACAGGGCAGGAGAGGGAAGCTGGTGCTTTCATCGGACAGCTGTTAGTGTTGCTTTAATGTTTACTGAAAAGTGAGAACAGTTCATGATTTTATTTATATTTTCAAACAGGCAAAACCAGCAAATCAAATATATGAAACAAACCGGTGCCTGTGCTTTCTACGGAAGAGGATTAGGGCCACTGAAGAAAAAAATGTCAGTTTAATATGGGGAAAAAGTAATAATTCTGACTTTATAGGTCTCTC